TCCTCCTGGAATTTAAAGGCGAAAATTAACATATACAAATAAAACTACTACCTCTAATAATGAAGGAAAATAACACTTAATCCTCTATATATAAGGAAGAATACTGCTTTAATTCATTATCTTCTATCTTCATGATTACCCTTGTCTCTATAACTCTGTTAGTTCAGTAGTGCATAATATTGTTAAAGAATAGAAATAATTCGGTTTCATTGTATCCAAAAAACAAATTAGCAGTTCCCTTTACACACAAGTAATGAGAACAAATATTATCAAAGAGTAATACTAGGTAAACCAATTTTTTAGATCAGATTTGCAAATTATGTGATGTGTATAATGTACACAAATGTGTCTTGTAGCAACTCCCTTTCAATCTTTTGCTAGCCAAATAGCAATCCACTATACTTTCAAGAAACATGTTAGGTTGAGTCCGGCTCATTTGATCAATATTTTGAGAAATATTATGCTTCCTTGTTTCTTTCCGTTCTGGACACATTATTGCATTCCAATCTAGGTTTTTCTTGATGTGCAAGGATTTGAGTTACTTATCTTTGTGGAGTCGGGACGTTCGGTCATTCTCGTTCCCACATCTAGTCATTTACGTAACATTGTCAAAATAACTTCGAATATCATTGTATTCAAAAGACATATTAGTGGTCTCCTTTGTAAGTGGTTTCCTTTCCACACGCGTAATGAGACCAAGTTATACATATGTATATGTGTGTATATATCAAAGTCTGGTTGAGTCTAGCTCAATTCATGAAAGTCTGAGAAAGGGGTAATCTTGAGAGATTGAATTTTTAAACTAAATTTTGTAAACCGAATAATGTGGATGTTGATAATTGAGTTATTACTTAAGTATTGATTAACGTGCTTATTTTTCTATCGATGACATATTATTTGGTTTGTAAATTCAGTTTAAAAATTATCTTCCTAACATTATCCTCGAGAAATTATTGTGTTCCTAGTTGCTTTTGGTTTTGACACGTTATTGGTTTCCCATTTGGGTTTTTCTTGATGTGCAAGGATTTGAGTTACTTATTTTAGATGGTTTGGAATACGTACGTCATCTATGTATCCATCACATGCATGTTCTCCCATAATTATATCCACTAATATAATTCACGTGTGATGATATATGTGAGTTATACGTCCAAGCCCTTATATCTGAATTCATACTCAATAATGGCCATGGTAGTGTACGCCCAACAGGATCCTCTCCTGATCCTTTTGGTGAAGATCCTGGAGTTCCATTCATCGTACATTATGCGGTCAGTTTTTGTTAAGTATTGTTCGTATTTAATTTTAAATAAAAATATTTAAAATAATTTATAACCTCACGATGTACGATAAACGAACATGATTGACGGATTTCCGAAATCTTTACAAAGATGATCCAATGAAAATACAGATGGAGTGCACGCAACCAAATGTATCAATCATTAATTGAGCGATAATATATAAATATAACACCAATTATTAAGTCCCAGCAAACCTACTGGTTTAAAGTTTTTTAAAAGAGTCAGTCAACCTTGTAATCCTATATACAAATTCGTGACATTATGTTTTTTACATTATTTTTTACATATATTTTGTAAAGTATTTTAACGATCTAAACCGTTTATTTTTAAAAAGCCATTCATAGATCATCTTTGCAAACAATTATACAAATTCAAAATCATTAAGACATTCATTTGTATTGAAGAAAATAGACGAATATAGTTCAACAAAGAAACATAAACCCTTAATCCAATGGCATGGATTCATATTTGGATGTTTTTGGTAGACATGATTTTGAAGGAAGACCTAAAAGATAGATGACTCAGATTATTGAAATACATTAAGGAGTATATCTTATAAAAATCGCGTGTCAAAAGTTGTGTGAAAATAATGGTGTCACGGATAATAACAGTATGCATGGATTTTTATATAACAAAATATAATGATGTAATCAATTTTATCTTAACGAAACTAAATTTTTATGTTACTTCTTTCAGAGGTACTGTCGCCTAACAAAATTTATATCTTTGATTAGCTAACAAGAAAAGTGCGACTTTCCAAAAGATTTGCTTGACAAAGAAAAAACCATCTAAAGATTTTGTCTTCAATTAGCCAACCAACCAAAGAACCAGGCAATCAAAGCAGTCGTCAAAATGATCACGTGTTATGACTACGCATATTAATTATGGACGTCCTTCATGTGTACTCGTTGATATCCGTTAGTTTTTCTCCAGTTCCAACCAACTATAAAACATGTAGCTATGCAGATAAGTACCACCTTTGCTGCCATGAGAGCGAATGCATCTGTAAAACCCAACCAAGTGCAGACAGACAAACTCTACCCAAGAAAAAGAAAGTCAAATATTTGGACTAAATGAATAATATTAGACCATGTTAGAAGAAATCTGTGAATATTCAAGTAATAGTGAGATATATATTTTTTTTTTTTAAATATAAAATATGTGACAAGATTAGGGAACGACTAAGCAACATAAATTGAAAAAACAAAACGTATCTCCACACTCCACCAAATGACAATTAATAAACATTACAATGAAGAACAAACATGGGTTAAAAAATGAGTATAACTTTTCTATGACCAGTTTCAACACAACCTTTAAAACGAATTCCAACACCTTAACATGACCTAAACAGAATTACGCATACACAACCAACAAATAGATAAAAGCCTAATTCAGCCACCAAATTGCATTGTCACCGTCCGAAAAAACAAATTTTGATGGTGTTAATAGTTTAGGTGTCAAATTTATAAATGCTAAAGTATAAAAATGAGAATGCATCGGCGGCACTTACTCAAATTTGTAAATACTGAAATCTAAGAGTGAAAAACCAAAGTCTCGATTGTGAAGTGGGATGGGCATTGTCTAAAAGACAATGCCTATGAGTAAATTTTGGGTAATGCCAAATTTGCCAAAAATAGGGGTAACGCAACATATTTGTACCAAAATCACACTTACGAATACTAGTAAATTTTGGGTAATTACAAATTCACCAAAAATAGGTGTAACACAACATGTCTATACCAAAGTTACACTTAAGAATACTCTCCCACAGAGATCACTTTAGAACACAGCAAAGTCATACAAAGTTTGTGAAAGTATCACAAATCCCACAATAAGTACAAAATTAAAATCTTAAAAAAATAAGAAAACTAATGAAAATAGTTTAAAATTTTTGAGTTCTAATAAAATAAAAAACAAAAAATTGTTCTAAGTAATAATATCAAAAGGAACTTAGTCGAGCAAAAATATTATTTTCATTAAAATAAATATTTGTACTCATTCCCAGAGTCGTTTAAAAGCAAAAGAAAAGAAGACACCTACTTTAGCACTACAAGACGTGACGGGAAAGCAAACAAGATCATCTTTGATTGGTAAATAACAATTCCCCAAAAATGAACATCCATGTTATTTCGGCGGCTGCTTGCTTTATTGCCTGGGCCGAAAAACCATTGGACATGTAAAACAGGCACTCTTGTGGCGGAAGCGGCTGCTCGTAGAACACTTGTGCTCATCAACTGCTTAATCGGGAAGCATAAGATCCCTTGGAGGATTAAAACTATTTGCAATGAAATTTTGTGTTTAGTTAGTTTATTTTCTGAAATCTCCATTAACTAGCCACGTCTTTAGAACAAGTTCATCCGTTTTAGATAGATAAGGATAAGGCAAGGGCAAAGGCAGTGAAATTACTTTTACCATTCACTCTGAATAGTAATTGTATTTGTGCAAGTTCCACCGTTTGAGAAGAGAAGAGGAAGAGCAAGGATAATGACGATTACTATTCACATATATATATATATATATATATATATTGTATGCCTTACAAGGGTGTACTTAGTAAGTGAAAGGCCTTAGGTTCGATTTTCACTAAAGACGAATTTGAACCATATTATTGCTAGCCCATTATGAGGTTAAGCCCATCTCTCTCCCTCTTAGTGTAGATCGATTGGTCAAAAAAAAAAAAAAAAAAAGGATTACAAACAAGCATAATTAATTAAAAATAAAAGCGAATGAAGAATATGGTTGAATTTTGTAAGTTTGTTAAGTATGATTAATTTTAAGTGTGTTGTTAAAATATTTTGTATTTTTTTACCCTTGAATTAATACTGACCGTTGATTTTCAAAGTTATTTTAAATTAGATGAACAAGATTGTGCCATGTGGCACAACGTGTACTTTAAAAAAAAAAAATTAATGTTGAAAATTTGACTGTCCAAATGAGAAGACCGTTGGAACCGGTGGCTCAAGGCATCATGGCTCAGCTGCGGGCTCAAGGCACAGCAATTATTGCAAGGGCAGTCCAACGGGCTGCTGCCCTTGATCCAATTGCCCTTCTCTTTTGGAACTGGTGGAGATGAATTTGTTAAATTGAGGGCGATTCAACCTAAATGTCCAAGCATTTAGAGAAACCAATTTTCCGCTGATGCCTTAGCTAATTTAGGCCATCACAAATCCTCGAATTGTATTCGGCTCGACTCTTTTCCTGCTTGTGCCCAACAAGCTCTTCAACTGGACCTATATCCTTTACTGATTGCCCTAGACGCTTTTCTATTTATGATTCTTCTCTTCATAAAACATAATTCAATCCCATATTTTACCAAACTACAAAACTAAAAAGAAAAGAACAATAATTTCACGGCCCTCTGTTACGATACTCAGATAAATAAAAAATAAAATAATAAAAAAAACGAAGTTCATCTTGTACTAGTTTATAATCTTATTAACTATATATGATCACAACTCTCAAGATACATATAGATTAAAAAAAGAGAAAATGTTATTTTGGCGGGGACCGTACGCTTTTATTTTGTGGGTGGGTCGACCATATATAATTATATATGGACGGGACCATATTCTTTGTGTTTGTGTAGAAAAATAATTTGTGGCCAAATTGGCCGCACCCTCCTGTATTATTTGATTAAAAGTCAGATTCTCACACCAAACAAGTAACAGATAAACCTGAATTCTCCGCCACACATCAACTCCTTTGCTCAATGAAATTTGATTGATATTTTAATTACCATGCACAAACGGAGTCAAAGTTTGGTGCATTGGCTTCTTTATAATACTCCAAAGTCGTGTGTTTTGTCACACTGCCAGAAATCAACAATAATGAAGTTCCCAAGCTCTCCATTTCAACTCGCCATTCTCTCAATCCTTTCAGTCGTCACAGTTTCATGGGCAACTTCAGATCCACTTGTCAATATTGATGACTTTCTGCAATGCCTTTCTAAACAATCTCAGTCTACCAGCTCAATCCATGCAGCCATTTACACCCCTCAAAACACCTCTTTTCAATCTGTTCTGTCGGACCGTATTAAAAACCGCAGATTTTCTACATCCACAACTCCAAAACCTTTGGCCATTGTAGCAGCCAAGCACGAGTTCGATGTTCAAGCAACTGTTCTATGTGCAAAACAGCAAGGATTGCAAATCAGAATCCGAAGTGGTGGCCATGATTACGAGGGTCTGTCGTACGTGTCTCATGTACCCTTTATCATTCTTGACATGTTTCAACTCCAATCCGTTAATGTTAATGTTGCGGAGGAGACCGCTTGGGTTCAGTCCGGGGCTACCCTTGGCCAAATTTATTACAAAATTGCTGAGAAAAGCAACGTTCTAGGGTTTCCTGCTGGGGTTGGTCCAACGGTTGGTGCTGGTGGTCACTTTGGTGGCGGCGGGTATGGCCCTTTGATGCGTAAATATGGCCTTAGCATCGATAATATTATCGATGCTAAGATAGTTCTTGCAGATGGTAGAGTCCTTGATAGAAAATCAATGGGAGAAGATCTTTTCTGGGCTATTAGAGGAGGCGGTGGAGCTAGTTTCGGGGTCATTCTTTCGTGGAAGCTCAAGTTGGTTTCGGTTCCAGCTAAAGTGACTGTGTTCAACGTCTCAATAACCTTAGAGAAAGGGGCTACAGATGTCGTTTATAAGTGGCAATACGTAGCACCCCAGCTGCCTAAAGACCTCTTCATCAGAGTAAGGCCACTACAAGTGAACAGCACCGGGGGAAAGAAGACTGTGAAAGTATCATTCATTGGTCTTTTTTTGGGACGTACTAACAAGCTTCTTCCGTTGGTAAAGGAGCGCTTGCCCGAATTAGGTTTGCAACGAAGAGATTGTTTCGAAATGAGCTGGATTGAAAACAAAGTGTTCTTTGCTGATTACCCATTTGGAACTCCGATAACTGTTCTTCTCAACAGGACAAATGGACAACCAAGCTTCTTCAAAGCCAGGTCTGACTATGTGAAGAAACCGATTCCGAAACGAGTTATAGAATCCTTATGGAAGGAGATGATTAAGATAGACAATTTTTGGATGGACTGGAACCCGTACGGTGGAAGAATGGGCGAGATTTCTGAGTCGGCTACTCCGTCCCCTCACAGAGCTGGAAATCTATTTTTGATTCAATACTATGCGGTATGGGTAGAGGAAGGTGTTAAGGCAGCCAGCAAGTACCTTCAATTGTCAAGAAAGTTTTTTGACCTGATGACTCCATATGTCTCCAAGAACCCAAGAGAGGCCTTCCAAAACTACCGGGATCTAGAAATTGGGGCTAATCTGGATAATCAGACTAACTTTCGGATTGCGAAGACTTATGGAAGCAAGTATTTTAAAGGTAATTTTGATAGACTGGTACGTGTGAAAACCATGGTTGATCCTCATAATTTTTTCAAGCATGAACAAAGTATCCCACCGATTTAGCTACGAGACAGAACAGAAGGTTTGACAATGAATTACATGCAGTATGGTATGTCACGTCGTGCTCGATAATTACATTGATGTTTGTAATATTATTGATTCGATGTATTGTAAAGGAAGCCCCTGGTGTACAATTAGCTGGGGGTGGATTTGCTTAATTTACCTAAATTCTGTAGCCTATTGGGGCATGGTCTACTTTGACTTGGAGACCTCGTTTTGTCTCAAGAAAAAGTAAAAAGAGAGGTTTAACAAAACACTCTCGGTATTGTTTACTTTTAATAAAAATCATATTTATACATTTCCTTGGTATTATTCACTATACCTTTAAAAATGACTTTTCATTAAAAGGGAAGTTTTTTTGAACTTTTCGTTAGTTTTCCTAAAATGGATTCCATGATTGTTTAGCATTGGTCTTTTCCTTTTTTTTAAACGGATGAGTTTGATAGTCTATCTAACAAAATAATTTTGTTAGAGTATCTCCAATAGATGACATGGTCTTCACCGCCACTCTTAGGATCATAAAGAAATATTGCCTTCAATGCGAATATCCATATAATATAAACCTAAATTTGAGGTTCAAACACTTTTATACGATATTTTAATCAGGTGCTAATCACAGTTGGAATTGTAGTTCATGTTATATGGTTTAAATCACAACTGTTGGAAAATAATGGTAAAATTAATAAATAAATAAGGGAATTGTATTGTCACCTTAAAATTCTCACTTTACACTCTCAAACTTTTTATATTTAAAAAGAAAAATACAATTTGCTAAGAGTGTAGAATAAGATTTTTAAAGTGCCAATAACATTTTTCATAAATAAATATAGGATAAATTACACAAAATTATCTCAACTATTAATCGAACTACAATTTCATACGTCATGTTTTAAACATTGCAATATCATTCATTAACTTATAAATTTGTTACAAGGTCAAACTTCTGTTAAATTTTCTCAATTGACTGTTACTTGAAAAAAAGGCAGCCATGGCCGAACCTCAGCGCACCACCTAGCTTTGTTTCTCACTTGACAAAGCCATGTCTAACCATCCAACAAGATCACCACCTGGAACTCCACCTCCGTTGACCCGTGCACCTGGCTCGAGGCGAACCGTTTTTTGGGTTCGATTTCAGGTCTGATCTGCCGAATCTGCAACACCAACTGGAGTTTGCAGACTTGAGCATGCAGAAGGTACAACAAACGACCCAACCCGGCCCGAATCAGAGGAATTTCCCGCAACACCAACTCGAGTTTGCCGAGGTTCCCTCCTCGCCTTCAACGACGTTTTCGAAACACCAACAAATGCATTGTAGAGAATCTTCGTCCTGTTATGTGACGGCGTTTTCTTCAGCAACTCACTCTGCGGCGGCGCGTCTTTGGGCGGGTCCATAAAGAACCTCTCGATTCTCGAAGATCTTCGACCTCGCTTCCCACAACGCATTTGTCACCGGCGACTGGTACATTCCCCACCAGAGTCTAATAGGCTTCCGAGTAGAGCCGTTGGGCCCATATTGGGCCAGAGGCAGGTTTTCGAAAGGGGAAGAGAGAGTGGCGAAGACGGGAATGGTAGTCAGTGAATTGGGAGTTGCAGGAGTGGAAGAGAATAAATGAGTGAGTGCGTGAGGAAGAGAGTTTCCCCGAGTACCAGGAAGAGACAATGGCGGTGGGTTTTGTTGATGGGGCTGCGGGGGAGAATTGCAGAGGAAAAATGGTGGGGGAGGGTTTCTGGAACGGAAAGAGGGAAAAAGGGGCGGAGAAGGATGGAGCGGAGAAAAAGTGGGTGGTGGGGGGTGGGTCCCACAATTTCTTTCATAATTTTCTATATTTATTAATATTTAATCAATTTTTTAATTTAGTTGGGTGAGTATGCGAGTCCCGCACTTGCTATCTCATCATTTAACAATCAAAGTTAACAGAAAATTTAATGGAAGTATGACATAGAAATGAATTCGTAAGATAAGGTATAACATTACAATGTTTAAAACCTCAGGTATGAGATTGTGGTTCAATCCATACTTGAAGTAGTTTTGTATAATTTACCTATAAATATATAAAAATAAAAGCAACACATGTGAATGGCGAGGTCTCCACTGACAAAATCTGATAAAAAATGAGGTTCACATGAGATAATTGATGAGAGAAACTTTCATAAAACAAGTTTATCACCGTTATGACGTTTTAAACCATTAATACAAATTATTTTCAAAAAAATCTGCATATACATTGTATTAGTGGCTTAGCACGTGAACGGTGAACCCGTTCACCTAAGAGTTAAGAGTTAAATGTTTAGGGCCACAAGCTTGAAATTATTAGAGGAGTTGGGAGTTAAATAATTGAGGTTCAATCTATGGCAAGGGTTGAGATGGAGGGGGAACAAGTGAGTAAGTGGCCACAGTTCCAGCATCGCTGACAACTTTTCAATTTTTTGGCACATGGAGATTTCATAATTTTAGGAATAAAAGACCCATAGGCCATACCAACCAACTGGGATTTTTCTTTTTCACCAAAAAAAAAAAAAAAAAAAAAAAAAAAAAATTCCAATTTAGATGCGTATATATTTCCTTGTAGACTAGATATTGATATTGATCACGGTGTCACCTTAGTTGAACCAAACTCCTCTATGTATACTATTTATCTCCCGATCAAGAGAAAGAAGAAGATAGAAATGATCCATATATAATCTTCTAAGAGTATCTTCAAAGAAGATGTCAATTTTTCAACATAAGCTATAATAAGAAAAAAAAAAAAACGGCCACTAATTGTTTACAACCGAAATGCCAAATCATATGTAGCATGACATGGAATGGGAGCAAAGGAGCTTGCTGTCAAATTTGACAGTGGCTTCAATTTTTTTTTACTAATTATTAAAGTGGTGTGATATCCACACATCCCATTTTACTTCTCACACACTTTTTTAATTTTCGACCGTCAGATCGGATGAATCAAAGAAGATCAACGGACATAAATTATCAAGGGGTGTGTGAGAAGTAAAATAGAATGTGTGGATACCACATCCCTTATTAAATGTCTTTTATTAATATTTTAATGTCATTTATTAGGGGCTTCCTCTCAACTTTCAATAAAGCCTATCTTCGTCCAAAGATATCTGCATTCTCTGTTCTCTCGTTCTCACTAACCTCTGCTTCTCCATATATGCTGGGTCCCTGTAAGTCTCTCTGTAGGACCATCAAACCCAGCTGGCTTCGCCATTATTATACCTTCACCAAGTAGCAAAACCTCCATATCTCAAACCCCACTTTCTCTCTCTACTTTTTTCTCCACTTCACTCTCTTTGTGCTCTTCTCAGCTATTTCAAAGACTACCCAGATGGCTGATACGTTGGATGACCTTGCATTTTGGCTCCCCAACCAGATTCTCAAAGATGAAGACCCACCCGCCATGGAGCTCAACTCCAACACCATGAAAAGTGGGGGGGTTCAGATTACGGTTCGAAGCTGATGCTCCGAAGGCTCAGAAATTAATATGATTTTTATTATGAATTATTTATTATGAGGGGGCAGACAATTTTGTTTGGCTCAGCTTGGTGAATCGCATCCCCACGCAACGACATTGTGCCCCCCCTCCCCTCATGCTTTAACATGTCCTCTCACGTGTGACCACTCTTTAGTGGGCCACGCATACGAAGATAATTTTATTATCTCAAACTTAACCACATGTGCCATTCACTATGTGTGAAATTTTATGCAAAGGGGCACGATGTAATCAGTAATAGAATCGTTCAATATAAGTTGTATGTATAATTCAATCAAGATTCCAATGTGAGACATGGTACAACATGTTGATCAAAGCAAGTTAGAAAAAGCCAATTAGTCCCTACTAAATTTTCAATGATGGAATGTCTTTAAATGAACAAGTAAATTTTTTAACAAGAAGTTAGAAAAGTGAAATCCAGAAAGCCTACTAATTTGTCAATTTTGGAGAGATTTTTCTTGAAACTTGTAATAATTAAGTACTAACAAATTGCAACCTTGTGAGCAATATCTTTCTTCTTTTTATTTCTTTGGCTGATTAAAGATGTACATAACTAACCCCAAAGCAAGAGAAAAAAAACATGCACAACAAGAAGCTAAATAATGACTGTATGGAAGTGGTGGGATACTTTGTTCATTCCTAAAGAAATTACCAGGGTCGACCTTTGTCTTCACATTCACCAACCTATCAAAGTTATGCCTGAAGTACTTAATGCCAAAAACTCTCCCCTCCAAATAGCTTGCAATGCCATTAGCATTATGGTTGGTCCCAATGTCAAGATCCTTGTAGCTGTAAAAGGCTTCCCTCGGATTCTTGGAAACAAAAGGAGTCATGTACATGTAGAGCTTTCTTGTCAGATCAATATAATGATCTGATGCCTCAGTCCCTTGTATGTTCCAGTTTGTTGCATACTGAACCATCCAGAGATTCCCAGCTCTATGAGGAAATGGAGTTGCCGATGCTGATATCTCACTCATTTTCCCGCCGTGGGGGTTGAAGGTCAACAATGGTGCCTCAAGCTCAATCATTTTCTGAAAAATCCACTTCAAACCAGCTTTTGGAATTGGTTTTTTGACATAGTCTGACTTCCTCTTGAAGTGTGTAAGCACTTGAGGTGTTCTTGAAAGCAAAGCTTCAGTTGCTGTCCCGGTTGGGAAGCTCGTCCAGAAAAGCACAGATTGAGCCCAGCTCATTTCATTGCAATCAGATTGCTTCATACCCAATTCAGGGAAGCTCTTGTCCATGATTGAGAGAAGCCTCTCAGAGTCTCCGAGAAACATGGCAATAAATGAAGCTCTAAGAGTCTTATTGTTTTCTCCACTACTATTTGAAGTAGTACCATTTACAATATCCATGATAAGCCTGATGAACAAGTCATTGTCAAGCTTATCCGCGATATATTGCCAACGATAGACAATGTCCGTTGCATTTTGTTCCAGGGTTCTCGGAACCTTGAAAACAGTAACTGTTTCTGGAACGCGTACAAGATTAATTTTGTACGCGATCACAACTCCAAAGCTGGCTCCTCCGCCTCCGGTAATGGCCCAAAAAAGGTCTTCTCCCATTGATTTTCGGTCGAGAAGTTTACCGTGCACATTTACAAGTTGTGCATCAACTATGTTGTCAACTGACAAGCCGTACTTTCTCATCATATTACCGTATCCACCGCCACTGAAGTGGCCTCCAACACCAACTGTAGGGCAAACACCAGCAGGAAAGCCATGGATTTTGCTTTTCTCAGCAATTCTATAGTAAAGTTCACCAAGAGTAGCCCCAGCCTGGGCCCATGCAGTCTCGGATTTGATGTCTACATGGATGGATCGAAGATTAAACATGTCGAAGATGAAGAATGGAAATTCAGCCACGTATGATAAACCCTCGAAATCATGGCCTCCACTTCTAATCTTCATTTGGAAGTTATGGATTTGGGCACAAACAACGGATATTTGCACGTGGGACTCATGCAATGCAGTGAGGATGAGGAAGGGTTTTTGGGTTGTAGATGTGTTGAATCGGAGGTTTCGGATGTAAGATTCCAAAATGGATGAGTAGGAAGCATTGTTGGAAGTGTGAATTGCTGGGGCAATTGGGTGAGAGGGTTGGGAATGGTTTAGAAGGCAATCAACAAAGGTCTCATGATCAGCTGAAGCTGAAGCTGAAACTGCCCATGAAATAGATAGTAGCACAAGAACTGAAAGCTGTAAGATATGGGGAAGCCTTGGAATTGCCATTTGTAGCATATATTTTGATTGGAAATTGTTCTTGGTTTGTATGCATATATGATCTATCTCTAAATGTGGGTTTTATAAAGGATATGGGTTTGAGCGAGACAATTTCCAAATTAAGAATACATTAGGCAGGAATTATGCACAAGTCACCTCCCCCTTTTGACCTGTAGAAAATTCAAAGCAAAAAATAAATATTTATTTATTTCTATGATAATATTGGTACATCTACATCTATGGCGGTATAACTTGCAACTACATCCACATATATGCAAAATATTATATGTTTGGACATGCTTTTGTTATTTTGGAGGAAAATAAGTGGCATGTGGAAGGGTTAGATTTCATGGTAAGGAACTAGCTAGGGCTGTGCAGATTTGCGCGCTTTCCTTTGGCATATTTTGATGGAAACTAAGAGTTTAAGTATCTTTATTTTCTTGTTGCTTTTCCTCTGTCTTGGATGAATGTCCATCTTGGTTTTTCCTACCGGTCCATGCCTAAATTTATAAAGACCACACCGGACCTGTTTTAAAATGCACGAGGCAGGCTGGGGTGGGTATATGAATTCTGAGATTTGGAACTGGACTTAACTCGGCCTGTTTTCCACAGGTCCAATTATCACTGTAAGTCAGTACAAGGCAGGAATCGCAGCCTTCTCCCAGTTCTCAGAGAGGAGAATACATGTTTCATAAATTGCCAACAGAAGATTCAAACCCAATTTGCATGAAACGTTCCACTAATCAACCAAACATAATCTTAATAATACCCAACAGAAAATTCAAATTCAATTCAACAAAAGATTTGAAATTGTAACAGAACAGAGGTCAAGATTCAAGAAACCAACAAAATCCCTAAAGCATAATACCTTGAAACTGAAAGGGACCGTCAGCAGAGCTCGGCTTCCCTGCAAATATGGGTCTGAGTCAGATGGAGGACATGACTGATTCATCGTTTCGAGTTGTTCGACTCCATCGTTCGTCCACTCGAGTTCGACAGAGAGAGAGAGAGAGAGAGAGAGAGACTGACTTCGTCGTTTGTCCCTTCGAGTTTGACAGAGAGACTGAGAATCGAGAGGGATGACAGTCAGCCTGGACTCTGGGAGAGAGGGATCGAGATACGAGAGGGAGGACTGAGGAGAGAAGATTCAGTCTGAGTCTGGGAGAGTCTTCAAGATAGTGAACTGTGAGGTCTGCTTTAAAGCTCAAAGCTCGTGAAACACGTTGCTTAAAACTCAAAGCCTGCGTCATGCAAAATCAAAGAAAATCATGCTTAATTGCTAAATAACCATTCTCTAAACAATATATAATGTTAATTATTTGTAAATAATTCAATCCCAATATTCCATCAAATTAAAAAATTAAGTCCTCTGATTGATCGGTAAACATTGTCCACGCTCAATTTCGAAAACAATTTAGAGACTACTCTCTGCTAATGAGTATTTTATTTTATTTTTCTGATTTGGTGTTGTATCTGCCCTATTTTAATTTTCTGTGTATATTTTCGAAAGTAATCTGATTTGGTGTTGTATCTGCCCTATTTTAATTTTCAACAGTCAACCCCTGTTCATGTACAATGGAGAGGAGTACGTGGAGGTACATATCCTCAATGTTTAGGGCCACAAGCTTAAAATTATTAAAGTAGTTGGGAGTCAAATAATTGAGGTTCAATCTATGGAAAGGGTTTGGGGCCACAAGCATAAAATTATTGGAGGCAGATTCTCTGTCCTCTTATTTTTCGTGAATTCTTATTTTGTGTGGTCACGGTTAAGCCACGTCAACATTTTATATTTTTTTTTTTTTATAAAGATAATAAGACAAAAAAGAATAGTAATATAAAATGTTGACGTAAGTTAACCGTGACCACACAAACAGGAGGGCATGGAAGGGCACGGGAAGTGGGAGAGCAGAGAATCTGCCTCCAAAATTATTAATGTAGTTGGGATAATGGCGTAGCCAGTAATTATTTCGTGGGAGGGTTAAGCTAAAATTATTACCTTGAAGCTGAAAGGCTCCGTGAGCAGAGCTCGTCTTCTCTGCAAATATGGGTCTGAGTCAGATGGAGGACATGACTGGTTCATGGTTTCGAGTTGTTCGACTCCATCGTTCTTCCCCTCGAGTTCAACAGAGAGAGAGAGAGAGAGAGAGAGAGAGACTGACTTCGTCGTTTGTCCCTTCGAGTTTGACAGAGAGACAGAGAATCGAGAGGGATGACAGTCAGCCTGGACTCTGGGAGAGAGGGATCGAGATACGAGAGGGAGGACTGAGGAGAGAAGATTCACTCTGAGTCTGGGAGAGTCTTCAAGATAGTGAACTGAGTGAGGTCTGCTGCTTTAAAGCTCAAAGCCCGTGAAACACGTTGCTTAAAACTCAAAGCCCGCGTCATGCAAAATCAAATAAAATCATGCTTAATTGCTAAATAACCATTCCCTAAACAATATATAATGTTAATTATTTGTAAATAATTCAATCCCAATATTCCATCAAATTAAAAAATTAAGTCCTCTGATTGATCGGTAAACATTGTCCACGCTCAATTTCGAAAACAATTTAGAGACTACTCTCTGCTAATCAGTATTTTATTTTATTTTTCTGTGTATATTTTCGAAAGTAATCTGATTTGGTGTTATCTGCCCTATTTTAATTTTCAACAGTCAACCCCTGTTCATGCACAATGGAGAGGAGTACGTGGAGGTACATATCCTCAATGTTTAGGGCCACAAGCTTAAAATTATTAAAGTAGTTGGGAGTCAAATAATTGAGGTTCAATCTATGGAAAGGGTTTGGGGCCACAAGCATAAAATTATTGGAGGGCAGATTCTCTGTCCTCTTATTTTTCGTGCATTTTTGTTTTGTGTGGTCACAGTTAAGTCACGTCAACATTTTATATTGTTTTTTTTTATAAAGATAATAAGACAAAAAAGAATAGTAATATAAAATGTTGACGTAAGTTAACCGTGACCACACAAACAGGAGGGCATGGGAGGGTACGAGAAGTGGGAGGGCAGAGAATCTGCCTCCAAAATTATTAACGTAGTTGGGACAATGGCGTAGCCAGTAATTATTTCGTGGGAGGGTTAAGCTAAAATTATTACTATGAAATCAAATTTTCAATCTTTTATTGCCTACATAAAGTTATATAATAGTAAACTTGAAAGTAACAATTGAAGCAAGGAATTCATACTATGTTTTCTAAGCTTCTAACCTCAAAACTTTCAAGTGAATAAAATAAGAAACCATTTGTAGTATGGAAGTTTTAACTTATTACCTTTAAATTATAATATTGGTTAAAGTGATGAATTTATTTGACATTTATTAGCTCTTTTTTTTCCTCAAAAAACAGCCTTAATATTCAAAATTTTAATTCCCTAAGTGGAATATTACAATTAGAATTATAAAATAGCTAAATGATTAATATTTGGGAAATTTTATGTAGACCTAATGAAAAGATGGGTGTAGAATGATATTATCAACTAGCGAATGAGTGGGTCGAAGTGGTCCTGAGAGCCCCAGTTGGTGATTGGGTGGGTTGCTGGAAATTGAAAAGAGGGATTAACGGAGGGTGGAGACGAAGGTAAAATGATAATGGAGGAGGGTTGTGGCCTTCAACGAAATCGGGAGATCGTGTTGCCTGAGCTAAGTTGGGTTCGTCAGAAAAATATAGGGCTTCTGATGTAGATCTCTCTCTCTCTCTCTCTCTCTCTCAAATTTTGGTCTCTCATCAATTCCTTCTTCATCCAATTTCAAATGACTACCAGCTTTTTCATCCTTGAAAGCATATATAGCTTTTTAACTTGTCCAAGTTTGGGACTGCATCCTTATTCCACGAATTGCAGGATCACACCGGTCTTTTGAGCTGCAATTTGCAAGTTTTTTATTTATTTTTTAATTGGTCCATTAAGTTTTAAGGAAACTACAAAAAATGTGTAAAGGTCTCGGGTTCGAAATCTACTACTGGTGTGGAAGCCAGACTTGTGGTCAGAGGGGGCTGAAATGCCTCTATAAGTCTTCCTGAGCTCCGAAAGGAATTAATAACCGTGGTTTGCCACTCATTATCCCTTTTTTTAAATTATTATTATTATTATTATTATTATTTTTTAAGAAAATAGTAGTCGGACCAAAATCTAGTCCCATAGAGACCAGCACGAAGAACATTGATGAGATAAAGAGTAGGTCGGCGACGACAATTTTTGTAATGACAATCGGAATCATGTCCGATTACTGCCATTGTAGGTGGTTGGGAGGGTTTATGCGTTTGTGTTCTTTTTTTATTTTTTATTTATTTTTAAGTTTGTCAATTTTGTATTTGAGGGTAAAAAGGTAAGTTTGCCGGACAAAATTTTCAAGTTGGATGTAAAAAGAGAATTATTGGGTGTAAATAAAATTTCCCTTAATATTTTTAAGCTTAAAGAACCAAAACCCTCCCCATACCATAGCTCAAAGGAGCCTTGTACTTGGCTCCGTCATTGAGTTGGGAGTCAAATAATCGAGGCTCAATCTATGGAAAGGGTTAAAAAAAAAAAAAAGGAGGGAGCCAAAGGTCACTTAGGCAATCTCTAATAGAGAGGGTTAAAGTTTTAAAAGTAAAAAAATGGTCTGATTTATTGAAAAACTCATCACTAACTGATAACTATGTTATAATTCCATGGAATCCACTAGGTCATTATTTAGCCAAAGAAGTATCAGTGTTGCAATAATTTATTCAAATACAACGGTTATATTTGAAAACATATAACGATATTTTAATTAAATTAACTAATAAATTTAAAGTACAAGCTTAAAACAAATAAATTATTAAACGGATATGTTTAGCCCCTTTGGTTAGATGAAGATGATATATGAATATGTCTTGATTTTAAAATAATTTTTTATAAAACTATAATTTTGGACAGAATTATGTTTTATTTTTCAGTTGTAAATGGCTTTTAAGGCCTGCGAATAGCCTCCCTCCGACTTACAGTGACAGGCAAACTGGGTTGCGGATATATTTCCTTGTTGATATATGATCACGGTATCCCTTCAGTTGAAGCAAACTCCTTTATATATGCTATTTATCTCCATATCAAGAGAGAGAAGAAAATAGAAATGATGAGCTGCCCATATACAAGAAGAATTTTCAAAAGATGTGACTTTTTTTATTTTTTTATTTAATGGCCAAAATTAAATAAAGGTATACACTGTTTAATCGAGTATGTTCATCGTACATTGGACGGTTAAAAATTATAATTTTTTACTTAAAATTAAATATAAACATTACCTAATAAAAATTAACTGCATGATATACGATGAACGGACACAATTAATTGAACTTCCGAATTCTTACAAAGAGAATCCAAAGAGGATCCTCTTCCCTTATTTTTGTCACTTAATTTTTTTTATATTTATATTCAATTCAACGGCCATATTAAACAAGAATGTAAAATGAGAAAATGGATAAGATCACCTCCTTTTTCTTCTTTTTGTTTAAATACTTCCCTATTTGAATATTGCAACGTATTGCCAATGTAACGCCCGCTATCTAGTATCTTGGATGGCATTAATTTTTAATAGCAAATAAAAATTACGAATATGAATAATATATATGACAAATCATCCTTCAATGGTTGTAACTCTACTTGGCATTTTGTAAGGTTGCAGAAAGCTGCATATGATCATTTTAGTTTAGTGGTACTTATTTCTAGATTATTGGAAGTATTTATAATCTAATTACAACTGTTGTTGTGTCAAAGTTCTATAATTTAATTACAATTTACTTATCTACATTACTAATCACTATTAATATTGCCTTCAACTTTACAACACGTTGATCAAAGCAAGTTAGAAAAAAGACAATTAGTCCCCACTAAATTTGTATGACGGAATGTCTTTAAATGAACATGTAAATTTTTTAACAAGAAGATAGAAAAGTGAAACCCCGAAAAACCTACTAATTTTTCAATTTTTGGAGTGATTTTTATTGAAACTTGTAATAATTAAGTACTAATAAATTGGAATATTGGAAGCAATATCTTTCTTCTTCTTTATTTCTTTGGCTGATTAAAACATAGAGTACAATTTTTTATTTTACAAACAATATTAAAGATATACATAAAAAAAACATAACAAACAAGCTAAACAATGACCAAATCAATCATAATGCTAGTTATAACTATTTCCTCTTTAGTGTGGAAGAGTTGGGATACTTTGTTCATTCCTAAAGAAATTACCAGGATCGACCTTGGTCTTCACATTCACCAACCTATCAAAGTTATGCTTGAAGTACTTAATGCCATAAACTCTCCCCTCCAAATAGCTTGAAATGCCATTAGCATTATGGTTGATCCCAATGTCAAGATCCTTGTAGTTGTAAAAGGCTTCCCTTGGATTTTTTGAAACAAAAGGAGTCATGTACATGTGGAGCTTTCTTGTCAATTCAATATAATGATCTGCTGCCTTGGTCCCTAGTATGTCCCAGTTTGTTGCATACTGAACCTTCCAAAGATTCCCAGCTCTATGAGGAAATGGAGTTGCCGACGCCGATATCTCACTCATTTTTCCGCCGTAGGGGTTAAAGGTCAACATTGGTGCCTCAAGCTCAATCATTTTCTGAAAAATCCACTTCAAACCAGTTTTTGGAATTGGTTTTTTGACATAGTCTGATTTTCTCTTCAAGCGTGTAAGAACTTGAGGTGTTCTAGAAAGCAAAGCTTCAGTAGCTGTCCCAGTTGGGAAGCTCGTCCAGAAAAGCACAGATTGAGCCCAGCTCATTTCGGCGCAATCAGATTGCTTCAAACCCAATTCAGGGAAGCTCTTGTTCATGATTGAAAGGAGCCTCTCAGAGTCTCCGAGAAACATGGCAATAAATGAAGCCCTAAGAGTCTTATTGTTTCCTCCACTATTATTTGAACTAGTACCATTTACAACATCCATGGTAAGCCTGATGAACAAGTCATCGTCAAGCTTATCCGCGATATATTGCCAACGGTAGACAATGTCTGTCGCATTTTGTTCCAGGATTCTTGAAACCCTGAAAACAGTAACTATTTCTGGAACGCGTACAAGATTAATTTTATACGCGATCACAACTCCAAAGCTGGCTCCTCCGCCTCCTGTAACGCCCAAAAAAGGTCTTCTCCCATTGATTTTCGGTCGAGAAGTTCACCATGCACATTCACAAGTTGTGCATCAACTATGTTGTCAACTGACAAGCCGTACTTTCTCATCATATTACCATATCCACCGCCACTGAAATGGCCTCCAACGCCAACTGTAGGGCAAACACCAGCGGGAAAGCCATGGGTTTTGCTTTTCTCGGCAATTCTATAGTAAACTTCAC